ATCTTTGCCCACCTGTTCCTCAGAGCCCTTAGTATAGGAGTCATAGTCCTGTCCAGGGCTGTGGAGAGTTCCAACTCTTATCTCCTTCTCCCCACGCTCCCATTCACTTACATCACAAAAACCTTCCCCATACCCTTCTTTGCCTTTATTTTTTGATTTGTGCAACTTGTAACTAGGTGTTTATGGAATAAAGGAGAATGAGAAAAAAAAAAAAGGAGAATGCTTTAAAAAAAAGCCAGGAGTGGGTGTGGGTGTGGGGAGATCATCTATTTAATTCATAAACCCACTCATCACAGTTACTACGTATCCTTTTTCAAAACTATGAAAATAATTTGGGGTTGGGGCTCAGTGGCAAAGCACTTGCCTAGCATGTGTGAGGCACTGGGTTTGATCCTTAGCACCACATAAAAATAAACAAATAAAGGTATTCTGTCCATCTACAACTACAAAAAAAATTTTAAAAATAATTTGATTATAACAAGGTATTGAGAAGTGATTTATTCAAGACCAGGACAAGGTTAACCAAAAAGAGATACATGATGTAATCAAAAATTCAAGGCAATCTAGACCTCAAGCAAGCAAAGCTGATGTCCTTGTTCAGTAGCTCTGGAATTGAAAGCCTGAGATTTGATATCTGAGCCTTCACACCGAACCTGTTAGAAGGGACACTATTAGCAGGTGAAGACCTGGTACACATGCATGTGTCCACACAGAGTCCCACAAAAGTAAAGCCATTGCACGTAAATTTTTCAGAGTTGACACCAGCAGGCAGGAGGACAAAATGGCAAAAGGGACATTCAGAGAAGGGTCTGTTCAAGCTTTAACCTTGGAGCAGAATGAACAGAAGTGGAGAAAACCAAGTGGTTCTAAGTGAATGGCCTCCTGAACAACTTCTCAAAAAGATGAGGTGCTGAAAGGTATACTCAGTACAGTCAAAAATGTCACAAGTGTTTTCTCAATGGGTCCAGCTGCCACTTGTTTAAACAAGCCTGACACCCCACCCCCTTACAGTTGGGGAGGATTTGCTCCGCAGAAGAACCACATCCATGCTGCCACCAGTAAAAAGAGAATTATCTGGGCTGAGGGTGTAGCTCAGTGGTGGAGTGCTTGCCTACCATGCATGAAGCCCTGGGTTCCATCCCCAACACCACACAGAAACACATACAATTAAATACTATGACAGGACTGCAAGCCCAGAATTTAAGGGCAATCCCCCACTGATCTTCTCATACGATTTTAGGTTTAAGGTAGACACTGTTACTCTGTTTTGATCAGTGGAAGACAAGGATTCCCAGGTAATTACTATCTCACATCTAATGCTTATAAATGTCACTCAAATGCCAAAAGCTTGTCACCAAAGTTGCATCATAAAAAAAACAATTCAGGGGCCGGGGCTGTAGCTCAGTGGTAGAATGCTTGCCTAGCACATGTGAGGCAGTGGGTTCCATCCTCAGCACCGCATAAAAATAAACAAAATAGGGGTAGGGATGTGGCTCAAGATGCCTGCATGGCATGTGCGGGGCGCTGGGTTGGATTCTCAGCACCACATAAAAATAAAATAAAGACGTTGTGTCCACCGAAAACTAAAAAGTAAATTAAAAAATAAAAAAATAAACAAAATAAAAATATTGTGTTCATTTACAACTTAAAAAAATTAAAAGAAAAAAACAATTCATTGCACACCTGGAGAAATTTCTTCCAACTTGATGTACTGATTTGAAGGCTGAATTGATAGGGCACACTTACCTAGAGACCTAGTATGCCACTCCAGCAATGGAGATCTTGAACCCCTGAATGCTTGTGCACTGTGGTAGAATACACCCCACCATCAGCGTGTGTTGGCGTCAGGAATTAAAATGTGCAAAAGAATACTGGAGTATTTCTAAGAGGCAAAACCACACCACTTGTAAAACACCAATTCCAGCTCTTGGCTGCGAGGTGAAATCACTGGGAAGCAAGCATTAAGTACCCCTGAGGCTTCCGTGCCGTGTTGTCACTGGCCTGGGGTGGGCATGGAGAGTTTTAACAGCTCCCCAGGTGATTCTAATGTGAACCCGGCAACTGGGACCCATGCCAGTATGGGGCATGCCAGGAGTGAGAAAAGTTGGAGAACTGGGGTTGTGGCTGCTGTGTGTGTGTGTGTGTGGATGTTCAGCATCATCTGGGTTACTGGCTGCTTCTTGGGTTATGGGATATTTTAAAAGACTGAAGGATAAAGGGTCTAAATGCCAGTGGCCTCTATTTTCTTATGTTTAAAAGGGCACGACACTACCTTGGTGGTCTTGTCCAAAATTCAGGGAGTATGGGGAGCGGGGAGGAGAACTAAGGGTAGCGACCCAGGGAGGGAGTGCCATGGCTTCTGGGAGGATAAGGAAAGCTGGAGTGGGTTGGGGACAAAGGGGGCACCCGCCCTCACCTGCATCGTAGAAGGCATCGAGCACCGCCGTCTCCCCGAAGTCTAGCTCCCCGAAGGGCACGGAGGTGAGGTGGGCGCCCTCAGCCTCGCAGGCCCGAAGCAGGCACTGCAGCGCCCCGGCCTCAGGGCCGCCGACGGCGCCGCCTTGGGAGCTCTCGCTGCGCACGTATATTGCCCGCAGAGCCCGCGGTGGCCCGCCCCCGCTCCCGCCGCAGCTGCCAGCTGCAGCGTCCTCCGCGGCTCGGTCGGGCTCAGCCAGCCCCGTCGCGCCCTCCCCTCCAGGCGGCAACCGGCACTGGGGGGATTCGGCCGCCGCCCCGAGTGCCCCGGCCAGGGGCGTCCCGTTGCCGCTCTCCATGTGACTGCCGGCGTGCCCTTCCCCGATACCTCCTCAGAGCCAGTGGCTGGCGGCTGGGAGTCCGCTGGGGGCCACAAGTTGCAGCGTCCGTGCAGTCTCCGCACCTGCTCCTGGGACGCGGGACCCAGAGAGCAACAGGTGGCCTGGCGGCGGCCAGGTGACGCCAAAGGCCCCTCAGAGGCGGACTGAAGCTCCAGCCCAGCTGCCCCGAGCGCCCTTTGAAGGCCCGCGAGAAAGAGGCGGGGGCTGGGGACGTCAGGGCCAGCGGAGGGGGCGGCTGGGACGGGCGACGGGGCAGGAACAAGGAGGGCGCCCCCTGCCGCCTCCCCTGGGCAGCTCCTGGAGTTGCGGAGCCAGGAATTTCAGGCCTTTTTTTTCTTTTCTTTTCTTTTTTTCCATCCCTCTAGTCTGACCACTATTAGGAGCCCCGATTACTTTTTTCTTAAACAAGTTGAAGCTTTCAAGTAGGGTAAAGACTCTTTCAAAGCACAGATTTGACGTTAATATTCAATTCCAAACTAAATACAGATGTAGTTTGAACTCAGCATTGGTGAGAGCAGATGCTTCGTTTTATCCTCAGTTGCCAAACGCATGACCTTCCTGAGCCCGGTCCTAGAGTCCAGTTTGTCCTGACTTTCACTGTGACCTTGACAAAGCACTAGGAGGCACCAGCAACAAACATTGTTTGTTGAAAATAGATTCTATGGAATGCTGTAAACCCCAAAGGGTCTTCACTACATCCAACCCACCATTTTAGTCGCAAAGGTTAAATTGTATTTAAATCATAGAATGCACTAGACATTGTCACAAGGTTTTTTGAGTGTTTTCTTCTCTAGTAACAGATTTATTGACATACAATTCACATACCATACAATTCATTCATGAAGAGTGTATGATTTAATGTTTTTTTAGTATATTCATAGTACTGTTCAGCCATCACCACAATATTAGAACATTTTAATCCCCATCAAAAAAAAAAAAAGTACTCATTAGAAATTAGTCTCTACCTCCCAACCCAAACAAACCCAGCCCTAGGCAACCACAATTTACTTTGTCTCTATAGATTCGCCTCTTCTGGACATTTCATGTAAATAAACTTGTACAGGGTGTGGATATAGGTTTTTCTCAGATATATACCTAAGAGTGGGATTTCTGGGTCACATGATAAATCTATGTTTAACCTTTGGAGAAACTGTCACTGTTTTTCAAAGTGACTGTACCATTTGACGTTCCCACCAGCAGTATAGGAGGATTCTTTCTGCATCCTCACTGCTACTTATTGTCTCTCCTTTTTATTACAACCACCCTAGTGGGTGTGAAGAGGTATAGCATTGTGCTTTGAATCTGCATTTCCCTGATGGCTAACCATGGGGAGCCTATTGTCATATGCTTATTTGCCATTTGTATAACTTCTTGGGAGCAATCCTTTGGCCAAAAGATTTATTTTTAATATTGATTTTTTAGTTGTAGTTGGACATAATACCTTCATTTTATTTATTTATTTTTATGTGGTGCTGAGGATCAACCCCAAGGCTGCATACGTGCAAGGTGACCACTCTACCGCTGAGCCACAACCCCGACACCTTTGGCCACTTTTTAACTATGTATTTGTCTTATGATTACGGAGTGGTCAGAGTTCCCTACATATTTTGGACATGAGTCCCTTATCTGATATGTGATTGGCAAACAGTTTCTCCCATTCTGTAGATTGTCTTTGCACTTTGTTGCTGATGTTCTTTGCAGCACATCACATGCAATTTTGACACAGGCAGGATGGGATTTAACTTGCAACACTTCAGATTATCTTCACATTTCAGTAATAATATAGCCCACTAGCCACCCCTAAAAGAAAGCAGAAAGTTCCTGTACAAATCCTTGAAGAAATCCTGCCTTACAACCAGCCCTAGTAGAAATCAGGAACTTCACCAGCAGCATCATTATGGGAAATAGGCTTGAAGGAAATCTGTGAGAACACATCCACCAAAGTTGGGAAAACTCACAACACTTCTAAGACTTTTTTCATGTGATGTTATAAAAGGACACATGCGTTCTTTGTAACCTTGTAATGCATAATAGTAGTAATTTTCCTAATGTGCCTGTTCATCTGAAATTATTCCAGTGACTGGCATAGCCTTTCAAAGGGCAAAGTTGCCCATTTGAAAATCACTTGCCAGTGTCTTGCTGTTATCCTCACGGCAATCTTCCTGAATTCCTCTCAGCTCTCTCTGGGGTCCTGCTGATTGAGTGAGACATGCAGGAGTTATGAATTCTGGCTTGAATAATATTTTCCTCTAAATACAAACCCTGCTGGGTAAAGAACCCAGCATTTACCCAGCTAACAAGCGCCTTCCCCTAAGTGGGCACACACAGTCCACCTTCTCATTGTCTGCAGTAATTTGGACACCTGAAGCAGGTCCTAGCACCTTCCCGAATGTCCTTCCAATTCCCCTAGTTCCTCTGAGGAGAAAATTGCAAAATGCTGAATTATTCTTTTCTGTTTAGTTCAACAATTATTCCTTTCTTACTCTTACCTTGCCCCTTCTAAGGACATGTCCTGGAAACCTCTTTACCCTAATGCTGAGGTGTCATATAATGTTCTTCCAGATATGTAGATAAAAATCTTCTCTTTGTACCTTCTTACCATGGATTCTTATTTAATCCTCTTCTGCATAGCAGCTGTATATATACTGCCCTTAGGAGTTCTCTTCTCCAGGTAATACCCCACCTCCCAGACCCTTCAATCATCACTATGGGATAACTTTCAGGCCACTCTCCACTCTGATGATTCTCTTAAAGAAGATTCACTGTTTGTCACTATTGCTGTTTTTTAAATTAAACTTTTTTTTCAGATGATTGTAGATTCATATGTGGTTGAAATAAATCATATAGAGAGATCTAGAGTACCCTTGACCCAGTTTCAAAACCCCAATGGTAACACCTTATTAAAATACAGTACATTAGGCTGGGTGCCGTGGCACATGCCTATAATCTCTATGGCTTGGGAGGCTGAAGCAGGAGGATGGCCAATTCAAAGCCAGCCTCAGCAAAAGCGAGGTGCTAAGCAACTCAGTGAGACCCTGTCTGTAAATAAAATACAAAATAGGGCTGTAGATGTGGCTCAGTGGTCCAGTGCCCCTCAGTTCAATCCCATACCTTCCCCACCCCCAAATACAGTACATTATCACAACCAGGATATTGACATTGATATGATCAAGAGAGAAAAACAGCTCTATCACTACAGGATCCCTCCTGTTTACTTTTGAGACCCAGTACCAATTTTCTCCTTACCTCCTAGCCCTAACTGCTGGAAACCACTAATTTGTTCTCTGTTACTATAATGTTGTCATTTTAAAAAATGTTATGTAAATAGAATCACACAGTATGCAACATTTTGGGGATTCTGTTTCAACTCAGCATGATTCTCTTGGGTTTTACCCAAATTGTTGCATGTGTCAGCAGTTCATTTCACTGAATGGATAAACCACCGTTTCTTTATCCATTCACCATTTGAAGGATATCTGGGCTGTTTCCAGTTTGGTGTTATTATGAAATAAGTTGCTATCAACATTCATGAACACCTTCTTGTGTAATAACGAGTTTTCATTTCTCTGAGATAAATATCCAGAAGTGCAAATTCTGAATGATATGATATTTGTTCCATTTTTATGAAATTGCCAAGTTATTTTTTAGACAGCCTATTCTATTTTACATTCCCACCCATATATGCATGATCTAGTTTTTCTGCATCTTCAGTAGCATCTGGTGTTGTCACCTTTAAAAAAAAAAGCCATTCTGATAAGTGTGTAGTGATAAGTCACTTTTTTTTAAATAGATTTTTTTTGGTTGTAGGTGGACACGGACACAATACCTTTATTTTGTTTATTTTTATATTGTGCTGAGGATTGAACCCAGTGCCTTACCCATGCTAGGCAACACTCTACCACTGAACTACAACCCCAGCCCTCATCATGTTTTTTTAAATGACTCTCTTATATCTGTTTTAATAAGTTAACATGGGGATAATCCATATGGAAACTATTCTATGGAAATACACAATTCTTTTGTACACAAAAGAATTGATATAGCTCTATTAGGAGGGCTGTGAAATAGTGGGAGGGCATTTCTTGGAAATGCAAAAGGAGCTAGATGCAGTGGTGTATACCTGTAATCCCAGCAGCTCAGGAGGTTGAGGCAGGAGGATCCTGATTTTAAAGTCAGCCTCAGCAATTTAGCAAGGCCCCAAGCAACTCAGCAAGACCTTGTCTCTAAAATATTAAAAAGGGATGGGGATGTAGCTCAGTGGTTAAGCACTCCTATGTTCAATCCCTGGTGAGAGAGAGAGAGAGAGAGAGAGAGAGAGAAGAGAAGAGAAGAGAAGAGAAGAGAAGAGAAGAGAAAGAATGCAAATGGATATTTAATCACTATAGGCAAAAAAGTCTCTAAGGTGATGAAGTTGTGAAGCCAACTTTTGGAGTTGTCATAAAAATATAATCAGCCTGCCATACACATGCCTGTAATCCCAGCAGCTGGGGAGGCTGAGGCAGGAGGATCCCAAATGCAAAACCAGCCTCAGCAACTTAGTGAGGCCCTAAGCAATTTTCTCAGCAAGACCCTGTCTCAAAATAAAAAATAAAAATAGGGTGGGAAGGGTTGGGGATATGGCTCAAGCGATAGCGCGCTCGCCTGGCATGTGTGCGGCCCGGGTTTGATCCTTAGCACCACATACAAAGATGTTGTGTCCGCCGATAAGTAAATAATAATTATTAAAATTCTCTCTCTCTCTCTCTCTCTCTCTCTCTCTCTCTCTCTCTCTCTCTCTCTGTCTCTTAAAAAAAAAAAAAAAAAAAAAAAAAAGCTATTGCCTGGGCTGGGAAAATCTCTATCATGTCGGTTTAGGCCCCAAGTTTCTTAATGAAACTCCTGTAGCGTAAGAATTAAAACCAAGAATCAATAAATGGGATGGATTCCAACTAAAAAGCTTCTTCTTAGCAAAAGAAAAA